AGAATGAGAATTCTGTGGGAAATAGAAATGGGGTTGGGGTGAATGTGAGGATTTAGAATCCACATAATGGTGGGGCAGAACACCTACTTTCCCACAGTATGTCTTGTGTTTTCTATTAAGGTATAATTTTAGAGTAGACAATTTGGGGAAACTCTGAAAGGAGATGTCTGAGTGCTGAATGTTTAATCCTTTTTGTCATACCAACTGCTGACATTTAATTTATTATGGTTTATTATTTAAAAAGATAGTACCAGGTATTGATCACTAATTTTGTATATCCTGGTATACTTTTCACCCGACTGCTCATGTTGTTAGCTGCCAACTGTTGGATGTATGTCTCATCTGAACAAACAGTAAGGGGAAAGAGTCAATTTCCCATGATCCGTCACTAGACGATCCACTTCACCGTTACTTGTCCTGATTTAAAATCTCCCCAGTCCATTTCCACGAGGAAAGATGGTGATATAGCCTAGTGGGTGCAATGGGCTTTGAAGTCAGAAGCACTTGGATCCAGCCCTAGCTCCGCCACTCGTTGGTTGTCAACCTTGGCCAAATTACATACTTTTTCTGAGCTGGGGCTTATTCTAGAGGCCTTGCTTCATCCACAGGGTTGTTGTAAGTGCACAGGATTAAGTATCAGCGTTATCCGTCTACCCTCTAGGCTAGTATCATGCTTCTCTGTTCCCACCCTTTGATGTTTACTACCCAGTTTACTATTAACTTGAAAATACGCTGAAAAATTATGATGGGCTCACCAAGTAGAAATAATCCTAATAATGTAAGTCCAGGTGAAGTGCTGATTTGCTCGAAGCAGCATTCCACATTTGCCACTCTCCTGCCCTGTTCCCTTGGCTCCGTCCGGGTTGATAACATTGCTAAAGACTTCTACAGACTTTACAGTATTGCTTTGAGAGGACCAGAGAGAAAATATACTTTCATCCTCAAGAATTGCCAAGTATTTCTTCATCATGTTTAATTATTTTAATGTGTGGGTTGAGGTTCTGTCATGATCTGCAAAATAGAGTGAATGGTCCTGACTGAAAGAATCAGAAGGGACCGCATATGAACAGTGTGCACCACAGCCCAAATGTGCTCAACTGGGGCAGGGGTGTATCCAGCGAGAGGTGTGAATGAGGCATTCATTGGCACATTGGCCCCACCGAGGGAGTGGATTCTAGAAGAGGGATTATAACGTCACTGTAACGGATCCCCAGCCTGAACCATATGAGCTCTGTTTTCTGGCTAGAAGAAATAAAATAAGTTGAACTTGGTATAACCAGCGGTTTAATTCTCCACAAATCTTTGCATTACTGAACAGTTCCTCTGCCTTTGGGGCTGCTAATTTTGTTGCAATGGTGGTTGGAGGTCTGGTTTTGGTGGACAGGGATTGGTTTGCCTAGGGCTGGAGCAGACTGGGAGTAAATAGTACTTGGAATCTAGACATGCCCTTTAGAGGCTGCTCGGCTGTGGTAAACAAGAGCAAGAGGGATGCGACTGACAGATTTTGAGGCAAGGAAGGAGGTGGCCGATCGATAGAGACCGTCCAGTCAGACGATGGAGAGACTTCTTAGTGTCAGGCTAGGCCGTGTGGTGACATCCAGGAGGAAAGGCACTGGGGGCGGTCCTCAAGCACGGCCAGCTGCCCAGGCCTGGGAGAACAGAAAAGCTACCTAAGGCCTGGAATTGTACAAGGTGGAAATTTGGTCAGAGGAGTAGAGTCTGAATCACGTGAGCTACTTCAGTAGCAGTTTCTGACATTCCTCCAAAGTTAAAGACAGAACTGTTCGCAGTGTGTCGGGCAAGGCTGAGATGAGAAGTAGGTCCTCACACCAAACAGTGGTTAAAGAAAATAGGCAGTGGGAACCACGGCAGTTACAGCGTCTGTCAGGAGATTCTTCTGACATGAGCATATTTTCAGCTGCTGAATTTAAAAAAAGGTTTTTGTTCTCAAGTAACATGTTTACACAGACTATGTGTAGGTCAGATAGTAGCTCTCTGCCTCACCTGTCTTCACCCTTGAGTCTCCCTCAAAGACGCTATTTGAATTCCTTTAGCTCTTTCTTTTGGTATTTACCTTTACATTTCTAAATAACATGCTTATAATGCTGTTTTTTTTTTTAAAGATTTTATTGGGGAATTGGGGCATGGGAACAGTGCTGGGGAATTGGGGGAAGGGGAACAGACAAGCTGCTGTGGTTCCTTTTCCTCAGTCCAGTTGTGGAGGACGCTGCTTCACTGGTCCAAGGTGGCACCATCACTGCGCTCCTCCCGGACGAGGCAGATCAGTCGCCGGCTTCTGGACGGCCGCTCACTGCGGCTGCTGGCCGCTCATGCTGGCTGCTGGCTACACACGGTAGCCCAT